GTCCTGGGCCTAACGCTTGTTTACCACCAGCTCAAGTTCTTCCCATCCTCTTTAAAAGTAAACAAAGAATCGAATTGCTGGACGCTCAGCTCGAGATTTCCCATTTGGTCCTACAGAATAAGGATGGCTATTAAGGTTTACCACCCATTAGGGCATAGTTGCGTGGGAGCTATGCCCCAAGAAGAAAGGAATTTACGGATCATCCTAGGAAAAGGAAGCCTAAGGCCAGCATGGAGGATAGCCGAGTTCAGAGCAACACATCCCTCAGGAGGAGTGTCAGCTCGGTTAGAAGGCTCCGATATTATCATAACTACTGAACTAGGGATGGCGTATTTAGCTCGCCAGCTGGCTAACACATCCCCTGTCACTACCGACCTATAAGAACTCACCTCCCACTCCACGGCAATACCCTCCTCAACATCCTTACCGGATCCCCCTGCTCCTTTGGAACCCTCATGTCCTAAGTCCATCACAGGATGCCCTAGGTCAGTTGGGTTAACTATAAAAATAGGAATGGGGGTAAAAACTTCCTTACAACTAGAGGATGAACTCGAGGAAACTGACTCTTCCTGCTGGTTGCCCGGGAATGAACTCTAGACTCGTCAAACTCATGTATAAACTAAAAAAAGAATCACAAACTGAAAGGAGGCAGCAGAAAAGAACAGAATGATACCTGGGAGACGAACTCAGAAAACGACCTCACTCGAATACGGGAATACGAACTTAGGAAAATCGCCCAAATATCTGAGAGAGTAAAAATCGGCGAAATAGCAAGAGAAATGATTGACCAAAACCAGATTTAAAGGAAGGGAAGATGAGAGGGCACGATCTGAGCCATTCATCTGGAAATAGAGGGAAAATATCAACGGTCCAAAACTCTGGGAGACAAAACGACGTAGTTTTGGCCAAAACTTGCTGAAGAAGCTATTTATAAGTGGCTTACAGCTCATCCACCTCTAAAGATGACACTTGTCGCAGCCATAAATGTACTACTTGGAGAAAGCATCATTGAGGTCAGCCCCCCTACGGCAGGGCTTACCTGGGGGGTAACTGTTGACATCCGAACTTCGATCTGGTAAAAACAGTTCGCTAACCCCACCTCAGTTAAAAGTGAGTTCTGTTCACACACTCAGATTGGAGTTACCCGCCGTTATCTCAGAAAAACACCTTGATTACCCCTTATCACATTACCCTATCAATCAGAGACACTTGCCACAGGTGATGTCATCGCCGCTCGAAAGAGCCAATTCCAAGTCCTTGAATTCCAGACCCCTACAGGTCATCATTACTTTGGCAATACATTAGCACATGACCACAGGCTTCGTTGACCAATCATTGAAGAATTTGGCGACCTGAGTTGCGAGCTCGGCACTATTGTTGATTTGATTGATTTGATGTAATTTCGGCTGAAATATGTATAAATAGTAGAATATGATCCTTGTAAAAGGACAACAAAATTAAGATAACGATTATGGCACGATCACATCTTTGCAATTTTTTTCTAAACACAAATCGCCTTTTTTCTTAAAGTTGGTTCAAAATCATTCTTGCGAATTTTGACATCAACACAAATAAACATGTTAATAGGAGGCACTTGTTCGAGGCTGTTCCTCTTCTCTTGAACCTTAATTTTCTTTTCAGGTTCCTTCTTGTATTATATAATAAGAAAGGAAGGAAGAAGGAAGTACTTATGTTTACGAATCCAAGAATTGTGGATTTATCGTCGCTAAGATGCTGCAATTATTTGTATTTAGATGGAGCTTAAGTAGACTGCAAATGATACAATGATTAGAATGAGACAATTAATTTGAGTCAAGTAGAATTTAAAAACTTCTTGCAAAAGACTAGGAACCGATTGACGAAGATTTTGCTAAAAGTTTTAACAAATTTTGATAAAAGGTGATGTAATGTGTAATTGAAAAATAAAAAAAACGTTACAACTCTAATGAAATATGTGCTAAAGTTGAAGTTTGACGAATTGAAATGGAACAAGCATTAAGTTGTGTTGATAGACTATATGTACAAGGTCGTAATCTGTCCATGACCGATAATTTTACTTAAACGCATTCTTTTGGATGACATTCTGTCATGTCTGGTATAAATTCTTTAGAAATAATTTTTTCGAATTCATAAAAAAACGTTACAACTCTAATGAAATATGTGCTAAAGTTGAAGTTTGACGAATTGAAATGGAACAAGCATTAAGTTGTGTTGATAGACTATGTACAAGGTCGTAATCTGTCCATAACCGATAATTTTACTTAAACGCATTCTTTTGGATGACATTCTGTCATGTCTGGTATAAATTCTTTAGAAATAATTTTTTCGAATTCATTTTTGACTATATATTTTTTTAATATAATAATTTTAATGTAGGCCTAAAATTTTTACCTACTTTTTAAACATGAATTGTCTAATTATTATTATTAATTTTTTTTTTTAATACACCAAATCTACGTCAAACCCGCCGTCAATTTAATAATGATCCCTTGCGAGTCAGATTCGGATGAAACTTGACTCAGTGGTTCACGAGTTTGCTTTATGAGGACTTCCTTTTGCCTCGGTTTTAACGGGTTCCTTTCCCTGCTTGGGAAGATGAATAATTAAAGAAAAAAAATTGGGTTAGAGATCCACCGAAGTGGGTAGCCTTAACCGGATGTGTCATTTACAGGTAAAGCCCGTAGGCCGTTCCCGTCCCTGTCGGGGGAGATGCCAACCATCTCTCCTTTCTATGAACACGCAATGGATCTCCAAACTAGACCTTATAAATTGAGAAATTTGGAATTAAATTTCGATGTGGGACTGGGACAAATTTGCAATTTCGCCTGGTCTGGCATCACACTAGACCCGCTTCTAGTATTGGACAACCCCAGGCACCCAAACTTCAATTCGGGTACACGGGTCACTGTTCAACCCTCCACTTTTGTTTATCGCAGAACGCCAGTTTCTCTAGAGCGGTGCTGGAATCCTATATTTCTTCACTTACTGAAATTAAGCTCTCGTTAGGGTCCCATTTTTGGGAAAGAATGTATTTTGAATAGTAGATTAATTGAGAATACGTGGTTAGAAAATAAGGAAAAATTTTGAATTTGCATATAATATTATTTTATTATAAAAATGTATAATTGAAAATAAGCGTTGAATAAATGAATTTTTAGTTGAATAAATGAATTTTTAGAAGAATGAGACTGAAACATGATGTAAATAAATCTCGAATTTTGGTTGGAAATATACACGAGAAATTTTCAGAGTATCATGCAAAACTTCGCTCGAGGGTACATTGTAGTGTACATCACATTTTTATATTGATGTTCCTGCTAAGTTACATCATTTATAGTTCACATAGATCAATATTTTGTATTTCAGCACTTGGAATCTATAATTAGAGCTAGAATACCAAGTATCACGTCATTGATTAACAAAAGCATCGATGAACTTGAATCAGAGATGGATCACCTTGGAAGACCTACTGCTGTTGATGCAGGGGTGAGCTTCTAGAATTCCCAATTGTGATTTTTGAATTGAAGTATACAAGTTTTTTTGACGCGTGTGATAGTTTACTCGATCCACTAAGTTCTTTTTGTTCATAATATTTTCTATCGATTGTATTGCATAATTTGTGAGAAGATTCTTTGATTATATGTGGTTTTGTAGATTTGTTTCTTTGTGACAGGTATCGCGATCATTTGAGTAGTCCCAGCCTTTTACTCTTTACAGTGGGAATTTTTTTTGTAGATTGGAGATTTCAAGTTTTTAAACTTGGTCAATAGCTTTTACGTGACGAAATGGTCTATTGGAGGTTGGAAGAAAGTGTTATTTTCCCACTTTTTGCTTGATCATGCTTTGATGTTCGTTGCTTTCTAGCTTATACCCGTAGATTCTCATATGATTATTAACTATCTGGTTCATTGTTTCAGCCGACCTTGCGGTGATCGAATTTCTGGAATTTTTGACAATCAGCTGCCAGCTGCTTTGAGAAAACTCCCATTTGATCGGCATCTTTCTTTGCAAAATGTGAGAAAAATCGTTTGAGAAGCTGATGGTTATAAGCCACACTTGATTGCTTCTGAGCAAGGATATCGTCGGCGGGATCATTATATTATTTTAGGGGGCCTGCTGAAGTTTCCGTTGATGCTGTAAGTAGTTTTGATATACTTCACTGGGAAGATGACTTTTTGAATTATGTATGTCACCACTGACGTATTAAACTTTGTTCAGGTTCACTTTGTCTTGAAGGAACTTGTCAGGAAGTCAATTGGAGAGTGTCGGGTGAGTTATACGTGGTTAATAATCTTGTTACTATTCTTTTATTGATTTAAATACCGTATTTATTTCTGAATTTCTGAGGCGAAACGGTTTCCAACATTGCAATCAACAATGGCTGGAGCAGCCAATGAAGCCTTGGAAATAATTCGTGAGAAAAGCAAGAAAACAGTCATGAGATTGGTTGACATGGAATCTTCATATCTGACTGTTGATTTCTTCCGGAAACTTCCCCAAGAAGTTGAGAGAAAGTGGGAACAACCCGGGAAATTCAGCAGCTGCCAATACCATCGATCGCATCTCAGAGGGACACTTCAGGGGGTTTGCATCAAATGTAACGTCTTATATAAATATATCTGATACTCTGAGAAACTCAATTCCCAAGGCAGTGGTTTACTGTCAAGGAGGCGAAACAGTGTTTACTCAATTACATTTACACGCAAATTGGGAAGAAAGAGGTACCGATTCTTTTGTCATTTTAGTAGATATTGAAATAAAAAATATTCACTTTTACCACTCAATTGTGAAAGTGAAGTTTTCGTATGAGAACCATTCCCACAGAGTTTATAGGATTTGCTTATGAAATACTTCGAATGGATAACTTTGCCCTAGGCTTTTAGATGGGGAAGTTCACCATGGTATTAGAACAAACTCACATTTTGAGTTCAAGTTTTGCCACCATCAATTTATGAAATTTGTGCATGTATCTATTCTCTACGTGAGAAGACATGTTGAAGACATAATTTAAATTAATAAATTTGTGTAGTCTCGAATAAATTCAACAGCTCATCATATCTCATCAACATGATCTGGACTAGGCTTATTTAGCACGTGTGTATTTCAAGGATTTAAATTTGGAACTTCTACCATCTGTTTTAACAGAGGCACCTTTTACTAATTCTTTTGAAAGCAGTTTTCACAATCTTGACTTCGGCGTCTGTTTTTTTGGGTCATTACTAGGATAGCCCTGCCACACAAATAGGGCCTGTCACCCACATCTCAACTCCTGTCAAAGGTCCCTATTTGAGTAGCAAAATTCTTACTAGAATTAGCTGTGTCGTTCACTTGAAGTTGGTAGTAATAAATAGTTTTGATTCTGTTTCAGGGTAAGCAACTCGCTGACACGTTGGACGAAGATCCACCCTTGATGGAGAGAAGGCTGCAAATGTGCTAAAAGGCTTGAACTCTACAAGAAAGCCAAGGACGAAATCTATTCAGGGTCATGGGCTCGATGTAGTTGTCTGGTAGAGAAGTAGGTATCTTTTGTATGATAATATAGTTTACGTCGTTTTTGATTGTCTTTTGACAGCTGAGATTCGTTTGTTGCACCATTCAATTCGTTAAAATATATGTTGCTTGATGCAGTGATTTCCTTGCTAATATCTGTTTTTGGCTCAGAAACTTCAAAATTGCAGCCTGGGACTACAATTCTTTTGTTTCAATTTCTCACTTCGTTCGCTGTCTTCTCTATTCTGACGGGAAAAATCCGGATGTCTTCTCTATTCCGATGGGAAAAATCCGGATGGACAGGGTATTGGTAACCGAACGGTGCCCGACCCCTCACAGTGCTGTGGGCGCCGCACAAAAAAAATATTGCCAAAATATTGTAGGCCCAACCCCCATGTGAGGGGTCGGGCACCGGCCTGTCACTGCCTTTCTGGCAGTGACGATCGGTTGATTCTGACGAGTAAAGTCTTCAAATTCTTTTGCTTAAATTTGAAGGCGTCTTATTGTTTGATTTATATGAAAAAACAACAACAATGAAGTGTATGTTGAACTGAGAGAAGAGAAAAAATAAAAAAATAAAAAAAGAACTATAGTTTACGTTCTCACCCGAGTTCTGCTATTTGCGAATTTGTGTATTTTAGTGCATGTTTGCCCCTAACATAGCTGCTCAAAAAGGGCCAAGACACTATGCTTAGCTAAACTTACTCTTTCAGTAATTTTTTGGCCAAGCATGTTCGAGCTTTTTTAGTTCAATTCTTAATAAGTCTTTTCTTTTTAAGCTTAGCTAAATGTCCGAAGAAAAAACTATAAGAGTGTTTAAGAGTCTGATAATTGCAAAAACAACTGTAGTTGTAAATTTGAGTAAAACTAACGTATTTCAGAGGATCTTTGTTACAGTTGCAGCATAATGCGACATAGAAAAGGCTGACGGGAAAGAAGTACAAATATTAGAAACACCCTCCTAAAGCTATGTTCATACACGAAATACACTGGGCTGATTTTTACAGCACCAGCCTTCAATATATTTGATTTGATCTTTCTGATAGTTTTGCTTAGAGTCTGGAACTCAACAAAATATTCAATTATAAACTCCATGACAAGACAATTTCACTAAAATGAACTATACCTTAGGCAGGATTCATGGTCAGATTGTCAAACATGATGCCGTTGATTTGATCAATGCCAATGTCAGATATGGGCTCAATGGGCTGCTCATCATTGTCGATCGAGGGAATGCCACTAAGTTGTTCTCTACTGAATTCATCTGCAGAGCAGACAAGAATAAAGTTTGATAACATAATAACTTGACAAGAAGCTAGTTCAAAAATGATTGCATAGTGGTTCTTGTTCTGCCTCAAAAATTCACGGTTCATGTTTTTTTGAAAGATTTTGTTGAAAGCCAGTAAAACCCCATTATAGATGTAAAACCATTTCTAGAAAGGCGCATTAGATTATACCAAACATTGTGCTCAAGGAGGTTGGAGGAGGGGTAGCCATAAAGTTCAAGCCAATGTAAAATCCAATTGCTAGTACTATTGTCACCATTACATAAGTTGGCATAGCCAGTGCCCAATACCTGAAAAGGTTAGACACAAGTGATGAAAGGTGCCATAACAAATTGTACAAACGAGTTTCTGAGCTATATACTGTTCGCAGCATAGAACGATGTGTCCAGTGTTATAAGTATTGTATAAGCTGTTATGGATATAGACCTAATCCTAATCACTAGATCAATATTAAGCAACGCGAAATCAAAAACACACTTAAGCAAATACAGATTTATGATGGTTAAACCTCAACATGAGAGCTATCGGCTACGGACTGTTGCCTCTGCATATTTTTAACTATGAAAAAAAATTACAATAGTGATCGTGCACATATAATCAGGCTATATTTATCTCAAAAAATAGATCTCCAATAAATCCTTCATATAAAAGGAATACTAAGGCACCTAAAACACGTATGAATGGGCATACTAGGTCACTCTGCAGTCGAGGAAATGTGTACAACAAATTAGATTGCCACAAAGTTATGCTTGTTATCATATATCTTCAACGCTTTCATTTGAGATTTTTATTTTTATTATTTATTATTTATTTTTTGATTTTGAATAGCTGCTGTAGTTCGATAACAGCCAAGATGCAAATAAAGCTCAATATTGGATGGCTCCAGGCTGTCCAATCGAGATTGATAGGCATTTGACCATTTACAGGACAGATAGTCTCTTACAACAACTTCTCACTGGTAAAAGTGTATGGTATGTTATGAGATGAGACTGATAACACTGTCTGTCTCAATTCAAAAATTTGCAGTACTTCAACATTCAGACTCTGGGCACTCAATTTGATAAACCTCCCATCCGGTTTATCTATTCTAGAAGGGGCAGGAAGCTGGGAGAGCCATCTGGAAGCGGTTGAGAGTGGCACATGATAGTTTGTTACAAAAATAGTAGTTTGTTGAGAGGTGGGAAAATCTGTTAGGAAGCAACTATAAATAAATGTAGAGATTAGGCATAAAGGCAGGCAGAATTATTTTGAGTGAGGAGTCGAGTTGTTCTTGTTTATAGCCTTCTTCAGGCTTTATGTTCTTTTAGTCCTGTAATCATCCGTTTTTCAATCGAATAATCCCTTATTTCACAATTTCACTTGTTCCTTCCGGTTGGTATCTTATCAATTGGTATCAGAGCACGTTGATTCCTGATGGCCCAGAAGAAAGACAACAAGGTGGACACCATTGAAAGAGAGGTAGACGAAATGAAATCAGAATAACAACGACTAGGCAGCTTGGAGAAATCGATGGACCAGCTCACATAGAGCATGGCAAAAATATTACAAACCGTAGAGGAAACCCAGAAAACTACGGCCACTTTCACTGCTCCTAAGACAGCCAAAAACAAAGGGGTGGAAGAAGTCGGTACAAGAAGCACTATGGAGAAAGGATTATTAGACAATATCCCTCAAGGGCCCTTGGTGGATCGCAAAGCAAGAGACATGGGAAAGTGGCAGGAGGGGTTAGGTGAAGCTAGCACTGAAGGTACCATGGCCACCGCTGAACGAAGCACGATGGGAGGGGAATGGAGGCGTGTACGTAAGCTGGAAATGCCAATTTTCAGCGGAGATGACCCGGACGGGTGGGTACACAGAGCAGAGAGATACTTCGAGATTAATGGCCTGACGGACAAAGAGAAGTTAGCGGCAGTTGGGGTGAGCCTCGAGGGGAGCGCCCTGTCATGGTTACAATGGACGGAGGCAAGGGAGCCCTTTAAAACTTGGGACTCATTTCGGCAGAAACTTCTGCTAAGGTTCGGGCCAACACAAGAGGGGAGTCTATGCGAGAAATTCTTAGCCATCCGGCAAGAAAGGTCTGTGGAGGAGTACCGACGGACTTTCGAAACCTTAGCGGCTCCGTTGGTGGACTTACCTGAAAAAGTACTGGAGAGCACGTTTATTAACAGACTCAAACCCAACATAAAGGCTGGGGTTAGGATGCTCCAACCAATTGGGTTGGGCCGCATCATGGAAACAACCCAAAGAGTGGAAGAAAGGAACCAAGTGATGAAGGCCTTTATAAATCCCCAGAGCCCAAGACTTGTAAGACCCATTTCGGCTGTCAACCCAGGAGAAGCAAGAAGCAACGACTCTTTCCCAATCAGATCGGTGACGATGGGGGAGAAGACGTTCATTCCAAGAAGAGAAACTCCAATTCGGAGACTGACCGATGCAGAATGGCAGGCCAAAAGAGAGAAGGGTCTATGCTTTCGATGTGATGAGAAATTTACCGTTGGGCACAAATGCAAAAACAAGGAATTGTGGGTGCTACTGTTATACGAATCTGAAAATGAAGGGGGAGAAGGGGAAGAAATATCGACGGCAGGAGACCCCTTAGAGGTAGCAGATACGGTGGAATTGTCCCTAAATTCTGTGGTGGGTCTGTCCACTCCGGGTACTATGAAACTGATGGGAGTGATAGAAGGCAAGGAAGTGATTGTGCTAGTGGATTGCGGAGCAACGCATAACTTTATTTCAGCTGAATTAATCAAACAGCTGGGGATACCAACAGTAGCAACCACGAATTATGGTGTAGTAATGGGGACAGGTGTGTCGGTTAAGGGTAAAGGGATATGCAAAGGGATGATGCTGGAGATGCAAGGGCTAAAAATTGTGGAAGATTTCTTACCTCTAGACTTGTGTAACACCGACGTAATTTTAGGGATGCAGTGGTTGGGAAGCTTAGGCAGCATGGAAGTAAATTGGAAGCTTCTTATGATGAGTTTTCGAGTAGGAGGGGAGGTAGTTACACTAAGGGGAAATCAAGAACACAGGCACACAGAGGTATCACTCAAAACTATGGTAAAAGTCTTGATGCAAGAAGGCCGAGGATTTTTGGTGGAGCTAAGAAGTTTAGGGGCAGAAGCAGGAGAGTCAGAAAGTAAACCGCCCCCTCAAGAAATACAGCAAGTGCTACAGAAGTACAACTTAGTGTTTGACATGCCAAAGTCACTACCGCCAATCAGAAGAGTTGATCATGCCATCAAGTTGCTGGAAGGGACGAATCCAGTTAATGTGAGACCATACAGATATCCCCACTTCTAGAAAACGGAAATTGAACGACTGGTCCAGGATATGTTGGAGGCTGGAACCATACAACCTAGTACGAGCCCTTTCTCTAGTCCCGTGCTCCTAGTGAAAAAGAAGGACGGAGGCTGGAGGTTTTGTGTTTATTATAGGGCCCTTAACAAAGCAACAATTCCAGATAAATTTCCTATTCCGGTCATTGATGAATTATTGGACGAATTGCATGGGGCGACCATATTCTCCAAGCTGGACCTCAAGTCAGGATACCACCAGATTCGTGTAAGGAAGGAGGACGTGAATAAGACAGCCTTCAGGACGCATGAGGGGCATTATGAATTCTTGGTAATGCCGTTTGGTTTGACAAATGCGCCTGCCACCTTCCAATCCTTAATGAATCAGGTATTCCGCGAATACTTGCGAAAATTTGTATTGGTGTTTTTTGATGATATATTGGTGTACAGCAAGGATTTGACAGCACATGTTCAACACTTGGAAGAAGTTTTCAAAATTCTGACTTCTCATCAACTATATGTGAATACAAAGAAATGTCAATTCGCTCAGCCACAAATTGAATATTTAGGCCACCTGATCTCAGCAACAGGGGTGGCCGCAGACCTGGACAAAATTTCGACCATGATGAATTGGCCAACCCCCAGAAATATCAGAGAGTTGCGTGGGTTTCTGGGATTAACAGGTTACTACCGCCGCTTTGTGGCAGGTTACGGCGAAATATCATGGCCACTTACAGAGCAGTTGAAGAAAGACTCTTTTAGTTGGTCAGCAGAAGCGGAGGCGGCCTTCCAGAAACTAAAAGGAGCCATGTCGTCAATACCAGTGCTGGCCCTCCCCGATTTCTCAAAACCCTTCATTATCGAGGCAGACGCATCTGGGTATGGTGTTGGAGCAGTATTGATGCAGAACCAGCAACCCATAGCGTATTTCAGTCAAGTATTATCAGCCAAAACGCGCCTCAAATCTGTATACGAGAGAGAATTAATGGCAGTCGTTCTAGCCATCCAGAAATGGCGACATTATCTGTTGGGACGTCCGTTCATCGTGAGAACAAATCAGCGGAGCTTAAAATATTTATTGGAGCAAAGAATAGTGCAAGGGGAATTTCAGAAATGGTTAACTAAACTCATGGGTTATGAGTTTGAAATTCAATATCGGTCGGGAATAGAAAATAAAGTTGTAGATGCCTTATCGAGGATAATGCCTCCAGTCGAGTTATTAGTCATCACCGCCCCCTTCATAATGGACGTTCATGAAGTCTGCAAACAAGTGGATGCTAACCCTGAATTATTTAAAATTAAAGAGAAGATAATGGAGGACCCGGCCTCATATCCACATTACTCCCTAGAACATGGAACACTGATGTACAAGGGTCGGTTGGTGCTACCAGGGTCCTCTCCCCTTATTCCCAAACTCCTGCATGAGTTCCATAACAGCATGGTGGGAGGACACTCGGGTTTCCTTCGAACGTACAAACGCATGTCTGGGGATCTATTTTGGTCAGGGATGAAAAGGGATATAAAAAGGTTCGTTGAAGAATGCCCAGTATGCCAGCAAAATAAAAGTCTTGCACTTGCTCCAGCTGGATTATTGCAGCCCCTTCCCATTCCACGGTTAATATGGGAAGATATTTCAATGGATTTCATTGAAGGACTTCCAAAATCTGGGGGGTATGATTCCATTCTAGTGGTGGTTGATCGGTTAAGCAAATATGCCCATTTCTTGGCCCTCAAACATCCTTTTACAACGGTGGGAGTAGTTGGAGTTTTTGTCAAGGAGGTGGTTAAACTTCATGGCATTCCCCGGTCAATCATCTCGGACCGTGACAAGATTTTTCTCAGCCACTTTTGGAAGGAACTTTTTCGGCTACAAGGGACAGTCCTTCGAAGAAGTACGGCCTATCACCCCCAAACGGATGGACAAACAGAGGTAGTAAATCGTTGTGTCGAAACTTATCTGAGATGCTTTACCTATGACAAACCTCGAAACTGGTACACAGGGTTATCTTGGGCTGAATATTGGTATAACACCACTTTTCATGCTTCAACCAACACCACTCCTTTCAGGGCTGTATATGGCCATGACCCTCCCCCACTAATCCGCTATGATAACAAGCTTACAGCAATTTCGGAAGTGGAACAGCAGCTTTCCAATAGGGATGCATTGTTGGATGAATTGAAGTCTCATCTTGAGCAGGCCTAGAATAAAATGAAAATGACAGCTGATTTACACCGTCGGGAGGTCACTTTCAAGGAAGGAGAACTTGTCTATGTGAAGCTCCGGCCTTATCGACTCCGTTCCCTGGCCAAGAAGACGAATGAAAAACTAAGTCCGCGCTACTTTGGCCCTTTTCGAATCTTGAAATGCATAGGACATGTGGCTTATCGCTTGGACCTCCCACCAACAGCTGTAATACACCCAGTGTTCCATGTCTCTCAACTAAAAAGGGCACTCGGACCTACTGAAACATGCCAACGAATACCCCCCAATCTGGACAGTGACCTGAATTGGAATGTGGAACCAAAGAAGGTCCTTGGGGTGTGCCCAGCACCTGCTGGTCATCAGACAATATCCGAAGTTTTGATTCAATGGAAAGGGCTACCAGATTTCGAGGCTTCCTGGGAATCGACAACTTCTATTTGTCAACACTTTCCCAACTTCCACCTTGAGGACAAGGTGTCTTTGGAACCCGGGGATATTGATAAACCTCCCATCCGGTTTATCTATTCTAGAAGGGGCAGGAAGCTGGGAGAGCCATCTGGAAGCGGTTGAGAGTGGCACATGATAGTTTGTTACGAAAATAGTAGTTTGTTGAGAGGTGGGAAAATCTGTTAGGAAGCAACTATAAATAAATGTAGAGATTAGGCATAAAGGCAGGCAGAATTATTTTGAGTGAGGAGTCGAGTTGTTCTTGTTTATAGCCTTCTTCAGGCTTTATGTTCTTTTAGTCCTGTAATCATCCGTTTTTCAATAGAATAATCCCTTATTTCACAATTTCACTTGTTCCTTCCGGTTGGTATCTTATCACAATTCTTTTTCTTCTATTTCTCAAGAAATCAGTAAACATATGGATTGTTTAGTTACTGAACTACAATATTTTTTATAACCTGATACAAGGCGACATTTTCAATTTTGAACATTTGGCCATGTTTCCAAATATAATTCATTATGAAACAATCAATACTCAGATCAACTGAATTGAAAGTCAGCAAAAACTAGCAAAACAAATCTACTAAAATATCATGAAAGTATGCTAATCTGCATTTTTATAAGTCATATTGGAGGATTCCAGGACAAAATAATGACATGTGAGAGCCACATATACACATTAGGAATTTAATGAAACTGTAATTATCATAAGCAAGCATATATTCCATTTCACTGACCTGCTTGGATAGTAATAGATCCCAATAGAATGCAACCAACAGTCAGGTACATATGCCCATATAATGAAAATGACTGCTCAGAGTAAAAAAGGTATTAGATGCCATTAAATTCTTCTGCATCTTACAACCAAAACAATAAACAAAAAGTAACATTCAAATTGTCGACAAAAGCATATAGCTTTAACCCATTTGATCAAGAACAAAAGATATCCCATTTTACATGGAATGCACATTCTTGTGCGCACGCAAGAAACCATGCAATTAAGTTGTTTGAATCCACTCTTTTCATTTAAAATTAACCACAAAATCAAGCACATAAGTAATCTGAAAAATAAGTAACCAGGGACGAATTTTCAGTCGCGTGTTATATATTATTAAAACGATGTTATGTCCCATGCAGTTTGTTCAATTCATATTATGTAATTAAGAAATAAACCAACAATTCAATCAGTTACAAATTACCAGCCATCACTTACAAATCCAATAAACTGATCATTTCTTAATTTTATTTTTATTTTTCTATAGCAAATATACCTTAGCACCCTTTGCACACGATTATAATTCCTTGAAACGCATATTTACTCGCATATGCCAATTTATTCAAATTCATCTAGAAGTACCAAGTTCGAGGACAATATGATACAGTTACAATGCAGCCTATATATATAATTAGAACATTCCATACGTCGATAAAAAAAGGTGCAACCGACCTGTGGCAACAACAGTGGTAATGGATCCAACAAATCCGTAAACTTCAGAGGGCTTTGGACCATGGTCCCCGGAAACTCCAAAGCCCGATGAAGATGAAGCCCTGTTGTTGGGATCGGGAAATGACACGTTTGCCCTCCGATTCTTGGAGAAACTCAAGACCCTACGAGGGCTATTTACGGAACAAGGTTCGTCCATGGCAATTTTTCCTGTAAAACTTTAGTTCTGGCACTGCATTGAACACCTAGCAAGCAGTTATGTATAGATGGAGGTGGGGCTGCAATGAACGGTGGTACTTTAGGATTACAGAAAATAGTGATTTGCTAATGTACAAACCCACCATATCTTACCAAGAAATGTTTTAAACTATACATCAACTTGCATGTCTTTAATAAAGGTCCTTGTCTGAAGACGGTGATTAAAAGAATAACTTCTGAATTTCGGTTTTTAGTTTTGAAAATTTTCATCCCTTCTGGTTCATTTCAAAAATTGGGAAACGAAAAAATTTTCAGCAAAAGTTCTACTTCAACCGGTATAAGAATTAATTGAATTTATACTTAATTTTATAGTACTTTGCAGTCTTTGGAAATCGGAGTTTTATCTGGCAATGCCAATTTCAAGAACGGGACTAATTCTTTGTCATATTTATTGCATAACTGGTGCTTTCAGAATGTTGTAAAACGTGAGAAATTTAAACAAAAAAAATCGCATCAAGATAAAATCATGCTTAAACCTAATTTTTAATTGCAATTTCCATGGGCTTGCATAGGAGAACAAATCAAAACTGCAGAAAGTGAGAAGCATACCGAAGCTTTGTTGACGAGGAAAGCCTCCGTCTGAGAAATTCGAATATTCAATTCCGTGTAGAACCACCACCCCTTTGTTGCGTCGGAGAACTAGGGAAGAGAAATTCCCATAGATCAGCTAGTGGCGGTAGTGGCAATAGCCAATAGTGATGTGGAAGAAGATGCATTTTTATTTATTTTTCCTTTTTTTTTTTGCATTCTTTTCTTTTAGTTTTTGGTTTTTGAGAATAGTCTTTTTCGAGTTAATTGTTCCATTGGTCACTGAATTTAAATCTATGTTTTTGATTGGACACTAAAATTTAAAATATCGAGTTTTGATCACTAAACTTAAATCCATGTCTTCGATTGCTCACTGAAATTTAAAATGTCGAATTTTGACCATTGAACTTTAAAATTTTTTTGTATTACTCATTATAAATTAAACATTTTTCAAAATTCAACATTTATGTTAACGAGCAACGTACAATATTTTTCAAAATTTAATGGCCAAAAGTCGACATTTTAAACTTTAGTGAGCAATTGAAAATATGGGGCTGTTTGAGCCCGATTTTTTCACCCAAAAAATTGATTTTTTGACCGTTATTTTACTATTCTAGCCGTCATATTTGACTTCTTCTATCACAGGTGAACCCCACTTTTCTTCTAACGGTGAAAAAATCAATTCTCAAAATCACTC